TTTACTGTAAACCGCACCGTTGCGTGTAAGCTGCCGATACTAATCTAGTTTGATGGTACGAAATTGCTGGAGCGGATCATCTTGTGCATAACCTAGATGCACTTACTGTTAGAGAGAAACTTGCAGTATTCGAATATAAACAACTCTCGTGTTATATCTAAATTAATTAAACAAAGCGGGGTGAGTTATACTCTGTTTTTTTTCCTTAGGTAAGATTTCGACAGCCGATGACAGAAGAAAAGCAGATGTGAATAAAACCGGTTAAAAACAACAAGGGACGACGCATGATGGATTTATTTGGTATGGGATTATGGAAGTTAACTATGGGTGGGTTTAAATACAGGGTGGGCCACTGAAAACTTACAATGGCTATAATTTTTAAACCAAAAAAGATATCAAAAAAATAAAAAATACCGTTTCTATGATATCGAAGGGGAATACATATAACGTATTTTTTGAACCACCCCGACCTACCTCTTAGGCGGCACCCCTACTCACTTGAAAATCTTAAATGGCAATACCCCACTTGTGGCGCCTTTTTGGAAAGCCCATGAAAAATGCTAAACGACGATCATAACGTTTTTAGGGTGAAATTAAAAAACTACCCCTGACACGAAAAATTAGGTGGACATTAATAAAAAAAGTCATTTTTTCAGCATAAGTTACAATTTGGGAACCAGCTAAATGAGGCAAATGAGGCATTTTTTAAACCACCTCTGCCCACCCCTAGGTGCCATCCCCTCGCTTCTAATCTCATCAATGCCATTTTTAAATGTAGATAATAAAAAAGGCAACACAAAAATGTTTTTACAGCCTAATGTTGGGATAACGCAAATTCTTCCTTATCATCTATTTTTTTACTTTCAACAAACAGGAATCTTAAACCGGCATATCTTTGCGTTTTTGCACTGTCTTCTATCGATTTTTAATCGTTTGCAAATTTGGTGGTATTTTTAACGTTTATTTGAAAGAAAAATGGTTTATACTGTGGAAGAAAGAATTCAAATAGTTTTTCTTTATGGTGCTGAAGGTATGTGTTATTTGAGAACGGCCCGTGCTTTCAATGAGAGAAATCCGGACAAAAACGTAAGTCACGGTTATGTTAGAGATTTGATTTTAAAGTTTCAAGAAACTGGGTCGGTCAAAAATAAAACAAGGACAGGGTCCAGGGTACTGAATGAAGAAATGCAGATGGAAGTTATTGGTCAAGTATCGGTCAATCCAGAGCATCAACACGCCAGTTGGCATCAATCACAGGTATACTTCGAACATCTGTCAGGAGAGTATTGAAAATGCACAAATTCCATCCCTACAAAATGAAGATTCTGCAGGAACTTGGCGACGACGATCCAGATAGAAGGATTCAGTTCTGTGAACTAATGACGGAGGAAATTCGAAGGGAACCTTCACATACTAAAAATATTTGTTTTAGTGATGAATGCTCATTTTTTTCAAACGGAATTGTGAATAAGCAGAACTGCAAATACTGGAGCGATGACAATCCGCATATTGTTGAGTGGCCGCCAAGGTCACCTGATTTCACTCCTTTAGACTTTTTCTTGTGGGGTTACACTAAATCCATAGTCTACAAGACAAAACCAGGTTCGTTGCAAGAATTACGGCAGAAGATAACTAAAGCATGTCGAAATATTCCGAGAGAGACTTTCCAAAAAGTGAGAGAAGAATTTGAAAATCGTTTGTATTTTTGTATGGAACAAAACAGCTGTCATTTTGAGCAATTGTTAAAATAAATTATCATTTTAAATTTCTTTCAAATTGTTAAACCTACATTTCTTATCACTACTTACCAGTAATTGTTGAAAGAAGACAGAAGCTGAAATCTGTATAACCATCGTTTAGCAATTTCAATTAGCTTTCCAAAGAAGTGTCACAAGTGGGGTATCGCTATCTTAAATCACTTTTTTCATTAATGTCCACCTAATTTTTCATGTAAGGGGTAGTTTTTCAATTTCACCCTAAAAACTTTATGATCATCGTTTAGCATTTTTCATGGGCCTTTCAAAAAGGCGCCACAAGTGGGGTGTTGCTATTTAAGATTTTCAAGTGAGTAGGGGTGCCGCCTTAGGGGTAGGTCGGGGTGGTTCAAAAAATACGTCATATGTATTCCTCTTCGCTATTATAGAAACGGTATTGTTTTTTTTATATCTTTTTTGGTTTAAGAATTATAGCCATTGTAAGTTTTCAGTGGCCCACCCTGTATAAATCCGTCATGCGTCGTCTCTTGTTGTTTTTAACCAGTTTTATTGGTTTATTTTAAAAATGACAGATCATATTTCAATTTTATTGGTTTGAGGGAACGATGAACGATAAACGGACGCCGATGCATATGAACTCGCCTTTAGATTTTTGAGGCTTGTCAAAGTCTTGCCAAATTATAGGTTATAATTTTGTGTCAACTTATGTCAAATATCTGCGTTTTGGAAGATGATGCATTTTGATTCGTGTTGTTACGTGTTTTGTGTCTTTCGAAGTCAAGTGGAGGAAAAATCGAGGGAAAATTAACTGTAGACCCAGAGCACAGTTTATAGTTAATACTCGCTGCCCAGGCAGAAAGTCTTATACACCAATCACCAATCAAATTACCATCAATAAAGTTTGTATACCATCTCGTTGTAGATAAGTGCATCTCGTATATGCTACAACGATCGTACTAAACATATACTACTGGAGTAGCTGTAAAATATCCAAATCACACGATAGGTAAATAATGGATTTTAGTACTGCAGGAAAATGTCTTATCCACTTATATTTGCAGAGGTCTTATCCACTTATATTTGCTTTTTATTGTCATTATTGTTACAAATCCCGCATTTTTTTATAAGCTCTTTCACAAGTACAATATTACTACTGACGTCTTTTCAAATCCTGCCTTAATTCTAATAAAATAGTATATTCTGTAAATCAAGTTAGGATGCAATTACCGTTTGATCGAAAAAAAATGGCGTCCAGTTGGCTAGGAAATGACGATCGATGACATTTCCCATAAAAATATTCATATAAAATTAATTTCTTTGTGTTTTTTTTTTTATTAATTATATATAATAATTTTTATTTCTAGAAAAACGAGATACAAAAGAATGATTCCACTCAATGGACACGTTTTTTTTGTAAATTAACGCTTAAAACCACCAGTCCGAAAAAGTAGCAAAATAAGCGTTCGGCATTTAACGTTTTATGTAAAACTGGTTAGGTATTTTTACACAAATGAAAAAGGAAATTAAAGATAAAGGATTATACTATATCCGTATTGTAGCACATTTTTAGACAACTTCTTTATTTTTAAGATTTTGATGGTCAAACATCTACAAAATATTCCTTATGCTTGGACTAAATTTTTTCGAAAATAAATACATAACTTAAAATTCCATTACAATACGGAATTAGACTGAAGTTTTGTCGTTAAAATGATATATAATTTATATGATTTTGTAACTAATTGTTCGTTATTTTATTATAAATACTGAAGCTCTGCAAACCTAAATCAAGCCTTAATCAAAGCCCAAGTAACATTTTAAGTTCCTTTAGGTTATAATATATTCTCAAGGTTAGTTATATAAAGGTTTAATAAATGTCTCATTGGTATCTTACAGTGTTTTCATTTATACAAGTGTAGCGTTGGTTACTTATCACTAATAGTAGCCTTGAAATGTTGTTTATAACTTTCCTTATAACACTACAGGTTCTTGTTACTAAAGGTTTCATAGTAAGGTTTAGTACAGGTGTTCACATCTATTTTATATAACTTCTGGTGTTAGGTGTTATAAAGGTACGCAAGATATACACTATATAACTAAAGGTGTTATTAAGAACCATTATGTAACCAATAATACCACAAGTTATATAATTGTTCCCTCAAATCGTTTTTTTGCACCTTTCAAATGTTTGCATGCTTTATATAACCTGTAGTTCCCGAATACCAAAGCTAATGACATAACCTCAAATTTTTAATATAATCAAAACAAATAATATATTAGACAAATAATGTATTATAATGAATAACAAAAAAATAAACTGGACAAAACACAAAAATACATCTACGTTCAAGAGAAAGGTTCTTCAGAATTTAAAAAAAATAGGAATAATCCAAACCTCATTCAAACTACATCTACCAATATTGAAAGCCAACATGCAAATTTATCATCCACAAGCAGAGATCGGGATCAACCTGAGATATTTCCAACAGAAAGTTGCCAAAACGATCAGGAACAGGAAGATGCCTGGCTAAGGCATTCTCTAACATAAGAGAATGAGCTTTGCGCTTTAACATTACACATTCTACACTTAAAGAACTTTTTTCTATAGTCAATTCATTCATAACTGTTCTACCAAAGTACCAAAGGACCCTAGAACTCTTTTGCAAACTCCTACCACTTTAAATATAGATCAAATTGTACCAAAACAGTATTATTTCAATTTAATGAGGTTATGTTTTGTTTTCTGCACATTTTCTGTCAGATTGCTGTAATGTCAAACTTCGTTCGCAGGGAGTCGCTACAGTCGACACCACGGGTTACATAAAGGTTTTCTGGGTGACTAAAAGTAGCCATAAACACCTCGTCATTTATAATGGTGATTTGTATCACCTTTAGATGTATAAAACACTAAAATTGGTGTTTTAAATAACCCAAACTCATTTACGCAACCTTAAGTAACCAAATTTATATAATGGTTGATGAGTATGTTATAGACCCTAAAGTAATATATAGCACTTTAAATATAATGGACGCCATTATTATTGATGTCTTCATTTTTGGTTACAATGAGTATTTCTAAGATGACGTTGAAAACTGGTACAAAACTATATTTTGGCCAGCTGTCAGTTATTTCTATGTATTAAAAAAGTCGTATGTTCTATTATTTGAATTAGTAAATTTGACTTTTATTACAAAAATTTTACCATATTTTTTTGGTTTATAAAAAAATCTATTAAATAATTCTGCTTTTGAGGGCGCATGTGTTTTTTGGAGGTAAAATTGATTTTCACACAGTAAATTTAATATCGCATATGTATTTAGTACTCTGGCTAGGCACAATAGATTTTATTAAGTCAGTAATTTCTATAAAGTCATTTGCATAACGCAAACGCTTTTGTAGGCTATGACTGGGATGGCGTCATTTTGTCGCTTTGTGTTTCTGGTCTGGATTATCTGCGTTGGACAACTTGGAGCAATAAGATCAAATCTTTTTATGTTAAAAAAAGAGGCAAATATTAAAGTAGTTAGTCAGAAAGAAACAAGTATATTTTCAAAAAACGCGCATGCGCGATATTTCTATGGAGGTAGTCTCTGGAAACCTTCTCAACACCACTATATAACTATTATATACCCTTTTTCAGTTTTATAGCGGTAACTCGATAGGATATATAAAGGTGTTGAGGAAGTTTTCAGGACTTTGGTTGCACACCTTGAGTGTTAAGGGTTACCATAGGAACAGTTATAAAATGGACCGTTTAGGGCATATAAGTGTTATATAATGGTTACCAATAACTCACGACAACCATTCTAGATGCGTTTAGGTTGTGTAACGAAAATTTATTTTCGTTGTGCTTGCCTTCGGATTATTTTATTTTTAAAACAAGGTTTTTACAGTTTGCAATTTTACTCGCATTGACACTCGCTTTTCCGTACCGTACTTTTCCCCGGTTGGATTTTGTGCGTCGGATACTAGAATTAGATAAACGTTCAATTCGTTAATCAATTGTTTATAATGATTATCGTATGTATAATTTAATATTATATTTATTATTATTATATTAATATATATATATATATATATATATATATATATATATATATATATATATATATATATATATATATATATATATATATATATATATATATATATATATATATATATATATATATATATATATATATTACTGATTAATTAATTTAAAATATATTTTTTATCGTTCTTTAATAAGGTAGGTTCTCAATGGTACTTAGCAAAGTTGAACTTATTATTTGGATTTTAATATGTTTTTGTTCAACGATTATAAATTAAGTTGCTTTCTTTTCATGGATCGTGCCATCCATCACGAGAATCCATGGAGTACCAAATTACACCAAATGGTACGGTGTACAAAATATTGCAGACTGTAAAACACCGTAGATTGTTTTAGGCAATTCAAAATACAATAGTTGCAATTTTTGGTTGCCTACCTACTGTTTGAGATTCATTTGTTTATTTTTAACAGAGGTTAAGTGAATTTTCCTTGTTATCAGTTCTAATTGATTAAGATGCAATTGTTTCCTTGATTTTTAAGGTATGTAAGGAGTCGTTAAGTATTATTTTTATTAGTAGTTGAAATTTTATCGAGAATTAGTTTAACAACGCATGACTATTTTTAATTCGATCTGATATGTCAAGATTTTCGGGAGAAGGGGTATGGTTAATATAAATCTAAAAATTTTAAAATTTTGCCTTCTCTTCTCATCTCTGCTCTGGGCATTTGGCCATTAGTCCAATCTGTTGAGATTATTATATTTTTTTCTTCAAAACTGCATGCTGAAGGTACGATTTTAGATAATTTTACTACGGTTCTATTTAACAATTTATTTCAGCAATTATTTCATTACTTAATATGTTTTCTAAACGTAGGTAACTACCTATTGTTTTTTTATTTTTGTTTTTTATATAGCTACAGTTTTTCTCATAAGAGCACGTGCTTAGACTTATCTTAAGATAGTTACTCTACTATCTTTCGAGTTATAAATAACTAATTATTGTCTTTATTTTTTCTACCTATATATAATATACGGAGACGCCACAACGTGGAACAGAAACACAGACAGGTGTTCGATACAGAGTCAGGCTGTCCGAGAGAACCAACTGCTGCAGGAGTACGATCAGGAAGATCCCAGGAAAAGCAGGCCTTTGGTAAGTAAAGCTTTTATAATTTCATTATTAACGACTATAGTCATCTTTGAAAAAACTTTACTTGCCAGAGGGTGGCTTCTCCATACCTGGACCCTGTGGTGGTTATTTTTCTCGTTTGACTCCTCGACAGATAAGATTTTTCTAATTTTTTTTCTCGCCTTATCTGTCGATTAATTTCTTATTAATAATATTTTTTTATAATTTAAATCATCGTCTCTTCGTATTGCATTTTTTTTTTGGATTTTGTTTTTTAGCACGTGCAAAGCAATAAATAATTTTCTGATGGAACCACGTTTTTTTTAAATTTATCTAATAGAATCGTACCTGTAGTGTGGTAGTGGTCTTGCTATTTTTTTATTTAAATTAATTTTAAAATTTCTTGACAGAGAGAGACAGAGAGAGGGAGATACATTTTATCTTTACCTATTTTTAAAATAATTTGGACGAACTATTCAATTCTTAACTTGAAATAAACTGTCATAGCAAGATTTCATATTTTATTCAATTAAATTAAAATTTTATTAAATTTAATTATTAATATTAAATTTTCAAGGTTGATAGTAGAATTTTGTCTATTATTCATAATTTTTTATTGGTTGGCTTTTAGAGAAGACTAACAATTTATTGGTTAAATACCAATTTGTTTTTGCTGCCTTTCGGCTTCTGTATTAAAATTGATCAATTTTAATTTTAATTTTAAGGTTAAATTTAAGTTGATTTTTATTAGTAGTTAATTAGATTTAATTTAAATATTGTTAAGGTAAATAACTATACCTTTGATTTAAATTTTCATTGACTCTCATTGTACATTATATTGGCAACCACAGACAGTCGACTTGGTACACTACCACATAACTGGGTGCTTAACCATTGTTTGGAATAGCATACTGCTGTTTATTATCTTCTAGGAAGATACGAGAACTGACCCTCCCCATAAGTAGCTCACGCACTGAGACTGGTGGAGTCTCACAAGCTCTCCAAGATTAGCCGGACAATCACGCTACCCACCAGCGGATGAGAGCAGCGTTGGTCTCCCAACCAACGGAAGCAGAAGCATATATCTAAGTATCCCAGTTAATTACCTATTTTACATTATAATATAGTCAAGACTGTCACAGCCAGCCAATTGTCGTACTATAGTGAGAAATTGTTAAGTAGAATATAAGTAGTATTTTAAAAAAAAAATCTTGTTTTATTTAATTCCAAAGCATACTTCTAAATTCATCAACATCCAGAATTTTGTGGGTTATAGTTGTAGAATATGGTGTTGGGAAGTTTCCTAATACACTTATAAAACAAAAAATGCTTCTTGGGAGCACGTGTGTTTGAAATTTTGGCTGTGACTTAACAAGACAGGATCGGGCTAAGCCTTAGGCAGATTTCTGAAATATAATATATATTTCCTTCGGCCACACACCCGATCAACTAACCCGACCCCTGAGAGCGACTCGGAACTACAGCATAATAGACATATATTAGTATAGGCATATAGCATCAGATAAAAATAAACTCTTAAACATTAAATGTTTTTTTTTCCTCGATATTATTTCGAGAATTTATATTATGCACTTCTGTTTAAACTCCGCGGAATTTAACCGAACGTTTACGTATAAAATCTTTATTTAACTTTATATCTCCCGATGCAAATTGCAGTTAAGAACTATCATTGCGAGCCGCTTCTTCCTTTGCCCCAGGGACGGAACAATCAGCAAATTGGATGTTTGTTAGGAGAGGACGCCTTTTTGTTTCCTTCTCTCTTGGAAGTTCTTGTTCCGGACACGGAAAGCCGGAAGCCGAGATTTTTAGATTTCTTTAAACGCCATTTCGTTCAGCTAAAACAACTCCATTCTATTCGATTAGTTCGTTTTTATTTTCGTTTTTACATCTCTTAATTAGCTTTGCTCTAAAATATTGGTTTAAACGGACGAAAAATAAAAGTATTTTAAGTTAACGTTTCCTTTTTGTGGCTAAGGTTAATCTGGACGTGGCCTACCGACTTGGCGAGCTTCTAAATCGACTCGTATGTCAATAGATTTTACATTCTTGCCATGGAACAACAGCACGACAGAGTTTCGAGACGGTCACCCGTCCATCTACTCGGATCGTCTAACGTCGCTTAACTTCAGTGATCTCTCGGGAACCGGTGTTTTAATGTAGCGATTTCTGAGTGTCTATACTACGCTTTTTTTATTATGACATTTTTGACATAAAAGAAAGATATGCTAGGTGGTGCAAACTGTATTTCGGAAACTTCGGCAACATATTCTGCAGATAGAAATAAATAAAAAAGTTCGTATAAATGTATGTCCTAAAATACTTAGTTTCGGAGATACAGGGTGTAGAAATTTCATTTTTATTTCGATTTTTTCCTAGTTGTAGAGGGCGCCACCTACATATTTGTAAATAGTTTGAAGAATAATAACTTTTTGTCCGCACCTGTATAAAACTACTGAGTAAAAAAATATACATTCACGACGATTTTTACGTACAAAAAGGTCTCTTGATAAATCGCTACTATAGTAATGGTTCTCGAGATATTTTCTTAAGTTACAACGAGTTAACTCATCATACAGTCTTAGGACTTTAACAAAAGCCAGTATCTGAGACGAAGTAATTATTATACTGAGATAATAAATTTTAAATGTTTTTGTGCCAAATGTTCAACATAAACTGTCTTATCATCATTTTTTTAAAGAAAAGTATAACTATTCGTTTAAAAATTCATCCTTATATTCATGATTTTTCTATTGCTGACTCGCCTAAAAACCGACATTCTGTCGAACCGCCGCACCGCACAACCCATTGCATGGACGCATTCGCGCATCAAATCGACGCATTGACGAGCCACATCGACGAACCGCATCGACTAACCGCCTCTACAAACTGCATCAGCGCATAGTGAGTATGGCGCATTAGCTACTGCAATTATGCTTAGGTTTGAGAAAAAAACTTTTAGCTCAAAATAGGTATTTTTTTTTATTTTTGATTCTTTGTGATTATTTTCTATGATTATTGTTTTAATTATTGTTTTGATTAATTTTAATTGTTTGTGTTGTTATATTTTTTTTGCTGAATAACGATATCTGTTAACTATATCAATGTCCTTTGTTTAACTATATCAACCTTTGAACAAAAACAAATATAATCAAATATTGCTAACATTAATTATAATTAAATCTGAGCTACAAGAAATTTAATAGGTAGTTTAAGTAGGGTTTGTTTTCTCGATAATTACAAGCAATAAAAAGAAAAGGCACAAAAAGTAATTTTTACTCCGAATAGTTAAAATATTCAAATTTCAAACGTTCCAAATAATATAAAGAAATTTTCATACCTTGTATGTAATTATATATCGAGAAAATATGGTTACGCTCGTTGAATTTGACACTTGATGTCAGTTTAATAATATATTTCCGTACTTTTATGCTTAGGCGTAAAAGTGCTTTACATTTATATTTAGGCGTTAAAATGACTTTTTTATATTGTCAATCACGTCGCAAAAATTAATACTTTCCTGACGTTTGAAAAAAATATTTCTTCTCCTTAAATTTTTGGAACCACTGGATCTTTTCTGAGTTTTCTTTATTTTGTTAGAGTTTGTTAGAGTTTTTCTTATTTAATCTATTAATTATGTTGCCATATTATCAACATATTATGTTTTTATAGACGTGTTTCTGAGGTTGAATGTTGACATTCAATATCTAAAATGTAAAATGCATTTTTAAAATGTCTTCCTGTTTTTCATTGTATGGAAAGCAAACCTGATAGGTCAGCAATCTCGATGGCACGAACTTTATGGAAATTTGAGTAAAGCTTTCCACAGATGAAGGGGATTTTGGAAGTTAGGACTTTGGGTCTGTCGGGTGTGCGGTTACGGTGCTCTTCTGTGGTTGAAAAGTTGTTAAAAGGATGGATTAGCAGTACCTTGTCGGCTCGTTTTCGCTGATACATTTGAGATTATAGGGCAAAAAGGTTGAAATTGGACTAAGTTATTTGCGGATTGAACATTTTTAAAATTTTATTTATTGTATTTTAATGAACATGTTTAAATATACAAGAAGCTTTTAATTTTAGGTCACTTAATTTTTTTAACAGATATCTCTGTTTAATTATTGACTTACGTAAAAATAACATTCGCTGTCAAATATTCCGGTTATAGCGTATGATCGAACAAAAACGGCGTCAAAGACAGCTGGGGAATGACAATCGATGATAATTTTGGCGAGGCCAATCTTGTCAAAAATTAACACTAATTATAGAAAAATTAAAACAGAATAGAACGTTTCCATACGCACAAATCTATTTCTGGAAAATTATTTTTTCTCGAATTTTAAAGTACAATATTTAAAAATTATTTTTGATCATTATAAAAATAAATTATAATATTCTTAATGCCAGTCTAACAGTAAACGCAATTAATTTTTAAGTAACAAGTAAATGAAGCCTAGAGCTTGACCTCGCTAAAATTATTGTCACTCCCCAGCCGTCTTTGAGGGCGGTTTTTTTTGATCGTATGGTAGTTAACGCGTAAAACTTTTTTTGTTGGTTATAGATATATTATTGTTTTTATTATTTAAGCGAAGTTGTCCATTCTATTCTTGTTTAATATTCCTTCTCTTATTATTATGGTATTTATCTTCAACCGTCCAATTAAAGAACTAGTTTAAAAAGACCACTTTGATGCCCTACTTCGATATCCAAACACAGAAAGCAACCTTTCTTATTTGGCTCTATTCTATTCCTGACTTTTTAGCTCTATGTTTCCATCCTTTGAGTATTGGTATTCTTTTATTTTCTGCGAAATAGGGATACGGAGAAAATTAATGATTGTTTCTTTTTAAAAAGAAAATATTTGTATACCTTTTGTAACATTCTATACAAAGTCAAAGAAAATTCTTAAACTGGTAACAAACGGAAATAGTTCAACATCCTTTGTAACAAATTGCTACGTTCTGTAAGCTGTTTTCCGATTTTATATCAATACTATCAAAGACAAATTACCTCCTTTATCAATCCATATTAATAAAGAAATAGAGATCCGAAATTCTGTACATGAAATCGATTTAAAAAAATTAATATGTAGTCGATTATTGATGATTCACAGATAAAAAAGCAATGATTAAATAGTTATTTTTTAGATAAGACGATAATGCAATTTTATCGTCGTGTATAAAACAATATTTTTTTCCATAGCGAGTTACGTGTTAAAAAATATTCAGAAATTATTATTTCAAAGCATTTATTACGAATAGAAAAAATATTGTGCTGGGTTGGCGTTAGTTTCTACGTAATTTGACAAATAAATAAAGCTGTCTCTTTAGTTGTCAGTTTTGAGTCAATATTTTTTAATTTTCTTTCGTGTCAATTGCTGATTGAATTGAAGCCAGAAATGGCTCAAAGCGAAATAAGTAAATTACCAATAGATATTCAGGCGACAAACGCCATATCCAAAATACTTCCATTTAAATCCCGAATAACTTTTTATAAGCTATTTTTGATAAGCAATTTTAACAGTTGCTATGGAAAAAAAATGTTGTTTGTATGTCAGAGCATTACTAAAAATATATGAACGGGTTTTGATGCAGTCTCTACTGTTTGAAATCTTAATATGGCGGTCAGCATATCCACTATAATTTATTTGGCAAAATTCATACAGAGTGAGAAGATTGAAATATTGCCAAAATGTATATGTGAATCAATATTTTCAGGATTGAATTTACTTAAATCTTGGTAATCTTCGATAGAATTAAAGAAACAGGTGTTTCAAAGTTTTTTAAAATTAAAATGGAGTGAAAAAGTTATTGTTAGTTATAGAAAAAAATTATCGTAAATTTTTATTGTAGTTCTCAAATGGCAGCGCCAATTAAAAATTGCAACAAAGCTCAGGTTTTTCTGTTTGCTTGATTTAAGTGAATTATGTTTAAATAGTTTTTTCTTCGTTGTATTTAGATTTAATATATTAAGTAACTCAATCCTTCATTTCAGATAACCATTAAATTTGAACAATAAACGGTTACAAGAAAATGCTAATCATAACCGAAATAATTATGCAATATTAGATATATCAGCAAACGATTATTTTTTTTTAACATTAAAATACTTTTAATCACCTCCTGAATATCTCTATTTCACATAATATCTGGTATAACTGATTTGTCGTTAAACCTGATTGTAGTTCTCAAATTGCGACGTAAATTGAAAAATGCAACAAAGCTCAGGTTTTTCTGTTTACTACTTGATTTAAATGAATGGATATTTTAATAGTTTATTTTTAACCTTGTTT